GCAATGTTTCTCAGATATTTGATGGGCACAATGGAAAAGCTGCAGCGGTTTTTACTAGGGAGAATTTGTTGAACCATGTTCTTAGTGCTCTTCCAAGTGGGCTTAGCCGTGATGAATGGCTTCACGCCTTACCCCGTGCATTAGTCTCTGGGTTCGTGAAGACCGATAAGGAGTTTCAGAGCAGAGGTATGTGCTCTAGAAAGCATTTCCTCGCTCTTTTGATTTCTCTTTACTTGTGGCGGATCAAATCAATGAATGATGTGTGGTTTATTCCTTTGTTGATACTAGGAGAAACTTCAGGTACAACAGCTACGTTTGTGATAGTAGATGGATGGACTGTGACCGTTGCATGTGTTGGGGACTCGCGTTGCATCTTGGATACTTCAGGTGGTTCTGTTTCCAACCTCACTGTGGATCACAGGCTCGAAGATAATACAGAAGAGTATGTTACTGAAATGATCTATCTATCTGTCTAAGCTTTTGTTTTTGGATCGTAAAATAACATCGAACCCCTTTGCCATATGATTCAGGAGGGAACGGGTGACTGCCAGTGGTGGAGAAGTTGGAAGGCTAAGCATTGTTGGAGGCGTTGAGGTATGTTGTGCTCGCTTTTTATTCAGTATCTGTTTTTCGACTCAGCGACTCAGGTTTGAGCCTTGAAAAAACTATTAAATTCTGCAGATTGGTCCTCTACGGTGTTGGCCTGGAGGTCTCTGCCTTTCAAGGTCTATCGGAGATATGGATGTCGGAGAGTTTATTGTTCCAGTCCCCTTTGTAAAGCAAGTGAAGGTATATATATTTGGTGTTTCCTTATAGATTTTTTTCATCATTTACAAACAAACTCTTCTTCACAATTCGTGTATATATATGAAGCTATCGAACCTTGGTGGAAGGCTTATTATCGCCTCAGATGGAATATGGGATGCTCTCTCGTCAGAAGTGGCAGCTAAAACTTGCCGTGGATTACCTGCTGAACTTGCTGCTAGACAAGTAGTTAAGGTGATTGAATTTTCTTAACATAGTTGGTTCATCACGCTAGTGAACAAGTGATTAAGGGAGTCTTGAGATTTGTGTTTCAGGAAGCATTGAGAAAAAGGGGACTAAAGGATGACACAACTTGCATAGTTGTCGACATAATCCCACCCGACAACTCGCAAGAACCACCGCCTTCTCCTCCTAAGAAGCACAACAACTTCTTCAAATCATTGCTCTTCAGAAAGAAATCAAACTCAACTAACAAACTTGCCAAGAAACTATCCACTGTCGGTATCGTTGAAGAGCTTTTCGAAGAAGGCTCTGCAATGCTCGCCGAAAGGTCACTCCTTTTTCCCCCTCAAGAACAAAATTCTCTTCAAGACTTGGAAAAACATTCTCTAACAACTTTTCTGTTATTTCTTGCAGGTTAGGATCCGGTGACTGTTCTAAGGAATCAACAACAGGAGGAGGGATATTCACGTGTGCGATATGCCAACTAGACTTGGCTCCAAGCGAAGGTATATCAGTCCACGCGGGTTCAATCTTCTCGATGAGCCTAAAGCCATGGCAAGGACCGTTCTTATGCACAGACTGTCGTGACAAAAAGGACGCTATGGAAGGAAAACGCCCAAGCGGGGTTAAAGTCATTTAGAATGAAAGGTGGTATCTACTTTCTTCTCACACACTCTCTATTCGTTCATTATAATTCTTTCTTCATTGGTTCTTTGTTGTTACATCCATTCAAATAAATTTAAGTTGACGTGATTCTTTATGGATCTGAGAATCGGGTTCATTTTCGGATAATAGTGTGTTGGATTGATGGGTATACGATGTGAAAATGCTTGTGTTCATACCGCAAGCAAAACTGATATACGAAAAGTTTGGAAACACCAAAGCTCTATTGTCTTCTCTTTGCCATTTTTTGCAAAAGTAAAAGTCAATTTTTTTTTTGTCAGCAAAGTAGAAGACTGGTTAAATAGTCAGATTAAAAATTGACGTGTTTTGGTATAATGATGAAATTGTTGTGAAATAGAGAGAAAGAGAATGGGCAAATTCATATCTTTTTTCATTAATCAAGTATCCTTTATATAAGGATCAATACATGTGATAAAAGGAAGTTTCCTTTTTTTAAGAGAAAAGGAAATTACTTTCCTTTTCCTAAAGAGAAAAAGAAATTACCCTATGACTAAGTATAGATGGGCCGGACCGGGCTATACTGGACCAGAACTGGTTATGACAATCCACTATGATTTATAACA